TGAAGGTTGGCGTGGACGCACCACCTCTGAAGGTTGGCGTGGACGCATCACCTCTGAAGGTTGGCGTGGACGCACCACCTCTGAAGGTGGGAGTGGACGCACCTCCTCTGAAGGTGGGAGAGGATGCAGTCAGAACCGGGCTGAGCGGACTCTCTTACGTGGGAACTAAATCACGTCTTACCCTCAGTTTTGTCACCGTCTTTCGCGGGTTCTGCTCTGGACATCCTGGGCTCCGGTGCTGCTTCCCCGTCAGCCGGGTCAGGTTCCTTCTGAGCCCTGATCCAAGCCAAAGGCTCGGGAAGCGCCTGCAAGCCGTAGGTGGAGACTCGGTGGTTGCTGCGGATCGCCACTACGGTGATGATGTCGGGTCCCATCAACTCATTTAACCTGGGAACAAGATTTGTGTTAAAAGATTCTAATCCAGTCCTCATCCTTTGTAATTTTCCTCCAAGTACTCGGGCCTTCCTGTAATTTGTTAAGGCGGTTCTCCAGCTTCTCTCAAAGACGTTATTTTGGGGATTTCTCGGGTCGTATTTATTTAGTGTTTGTAAATCAGATGGCGGAGGTGGAAATGAAGTTTTGTAACACTGTAAAATAAAATGGACGAGAATTTCTGCTTTGAGCATTTGTAGACAGGAATATGTGTAAAAATATATATTTGTAAAGATAATTGCACCAGTTACAGTTTATTTCTGTTAAGGTCTGTTTACAGATACCAAAAAAAAAAAAAAAAAAAAAAAAACTGCAAAACTCTTTCAACTTCAAGTACAAATTATGACCTGATGTTTCTTCCTCTCAGCTGATTGGTCGATGGCCTGTCAATCACAAGTTTAACTATCCAATCAGAGAACAGATGGGTTGGTCTGTCAGGGGGTGGAGCTTTACTGAGCTGCTTACTTTAGTGGAACAAAAACTAAATGATTGTCCAGATATACTGTATATTTTTGAAAATCACGTTCGGTAGTGTAGGCTCGTCCTCCATTTTCAAGATGTACAAGTAATGGTGAAGCCAGGGGGTGACCAATGGTGGCCTTGGCTACCATAGAGTAATTATCTGGCCACCCCAAACATTTGAGGGAATTACCTGTGTATTTTTAAGCAACATAAAACCAAGAGAGTATAGTTTCCTCAAATGATAAGCATGGTTGGTTAACATAGAGATGTTAGTGGCCATCTTGGATTTTGGCGTGGCAACCTCTTTTTTGAAAGAAACCTTTCATACGTGTAGAAGTAGCCACACAACAAAAAAGGGAAGGTGGCCTGTTGCTTATTTTTCCAATTATCCAGCTGACAAGGTTTATGGCTCAGTGACATGATGAACTGATGACATCATTGTGTGACCACAGGATTAAACAACAACAAAGAGAATACCAGAGGACTATTGATGATGACACACAGAAACTTCGTTAGATTTAAAAATTAGTTAACCACAGAGGATCACTAAAGAAAGTAAATTAATTAAATTTAGTAAAAAACACAAGGGAAACATCCAACACATGTAAAGAGCCAGGCTCCACTTCAACCCAGCTGAGTTCTGCTCAACACCTCTTTTGCCCGTTTCATTTCTGAAACGGAGCACTTCACTCTCAGATTGCAGGTTTACTTGTGGTTCCTAGAGTTTCCAAAAGCATAATGAGAGGAAGATCTTTCAGTTATCAGGCTCCTCTATTGTGGAACCAACATCCAGCTTCTGTCCATGAGACTGGCACATTGTCCAGGTTTAAGACTGGGCTTAAGACTTTCCTTTTGGATAAATCCTATAGTTAGGGTCAGCTTGGGTTTCATGAGCTATTCCTTAGGTCTGCTGAATTAGGCTTAGACTGCTGGAGAACAAATAATCACATTTCCTCTCTCTGCAGCTGTCTTTACTTGCTCTAATCTTCCTGTTTGTAATGTTAAATATTTCTATCTTAACGTGTTTTTTGTCTTTCCTCCAATAGAAAGTATACTTGGACTAAAGAAAGTACACCTGGACTATAGAAAGTATACTTGGACTAAAGAAAGTACACCTGGACTATAGAAAGTATACTT